GTACAATTGCATCTAAATGAGATTTGACAGAAATCTTACTTTTAGGTTAAATTTGCTAATAGCTTTTATCATCGGGATTTAGATCCTAATTTTTTTATCACATAAGCTCTACCCCTATCACATAAATTATTTTCCGAATACTCTATTACCATGTAGACCATTAATCCGATTTGGCCTTATTAGAATGTTCATCCTTATATTATTAGGGTTCTTTTTAGACCTATTGGTTAGTTTGGTAAGAAAGATGTCATCAGCTATTACGCAGATCAAACAAAAATCATTATAATTATCATATATATATATATATATATCTGAAGTTAAGGGATGAGAGCTAGCTTCAAATTCTCCATTTTTTTCTGACTTTTAATATAAGCTTAATTAATTAAGCTCTGGTTTATCACCTTAGACAAAGTACAGCCACGTACCCTGACCATCTCTTCATAGCCCTTCCAAGTTCAAACTTGTGAAGTCATCGATACTCTTTACTTTTTAGAAAAAATGCATTGACATTGTAAGTGCAAATCCGCCCGCAGGAGCATAGAAACAAAGTCATTTTAGGTTTTCCCTCGAGAAAATTTTCCTTCAAATACAAGCTGCCTTATAATTCATGGTATATTTCTTTGTTTGTCTCTCAGAGTCACTTGTAGGAGTGCAAGTTGGATTAGAATTTCAGATTCCGTCATCAAAATTTCGTTTCAAATCTGAACATTTCCAAAATTGATAAAAAATTTATGAAATTCTGACATAATTTCAATTTCAGATAATCTAAAGAAAAAATAAAAAATAAAAAATCAAAGTTGGAAGTTCCGATTCAATCTCAAATGTTTGAAATGAAAATGAAAACCTTGTCTCTAACCCGATCCGTTAAAAAATCATCCATAGTCACGTGATGAGATATAGAGTTGTTTACGTATGTGAAGAAATGTCCTACATTGGAAGTTCATCGAAGCTTCCATGTGCTTATAATATAATAAAGAGTTGGGTCATTCTCCATGTTATCAATTAGTTTTATGGTAGAAGTTTAACTTCATGGTATCAATTCAGGTGGCTCAATTTTAAGCTCAACCACAACAAGTATCTTATGTCACCCAATTTTCATTGTCAACATCTTACGCTTGAAAATTCACCACATACGATGGGCCATGTGTGTGAGGATATGAAAAAATGTCCTACTTCAAAAGTTTACCCACACGTGTTTTACTTTATCCAATTTGTGTTATACTCGTCTTAAACTTGAAAATTTGTTACACTTAATCTAGTGACACAAGCCACAAAATATACTATTATACATGTTCTAAATCAAATTTACGTATTATAATTTGAGCGGAATAAAAAACAATTAGCAACCTATGACACCAAAAGATTATCCATAGATTGTTTCTTGTTGATTAAGTTCCTTGACTATTCTACCACTTAAGATTACATTATACTTTTTTAATTTGATGACTCATATTTGTGTATTTAGTTGTATTTGACTATCGTCACATTTTGAATTAATTGCAGATTTCTTTAATTGTATTCAATGACTCCCAATTTGGAAATCCTTTATTAATTGGTTGACGTGGTCTTGAAGCAATTAATGTGTGCTCTGATTTGGATTTTTAGATCCCATTTCTATTTTCTGTTAAACTAGCTAATTTATCAACAATTAAAATTGTTCGTGTTTTGTAAGAGATCTCAAATTTTATTTGTAGCTAGCATAGATGTAAAAACAAGACCAATATTTGCAAACAAGTTCTTTTCCAAATTCACTGTAAAAGATCTTGTAGAAGATAGAATCATTGAAGTATTATTAATCTTCTATATGTATATATAAAAGGAGAAGGCAAAAGGATAAAGCTTTCATAATATTCAAATTACCCTTCTTCTATTACCATTTGTCCAGTTTGTCTTTGCTTTACTAGTGTTAATCATTGTTGAACACAGCAAATCAACTTTGGCATTGTTCCAGCCCTATTTTTTAAACCATCTCTAACCTTTGGAGTAAAATTTAATTTTGGGTTAAATTCGACCAGGATTTGAGTTTGGATTATTGAGTTGGCCCACTTGTGCGCGTGGACTTGCCAGCAAAAGCTAGACGCGCAAGCCCTTAATGCGGCCCACGCTTCAACGCATGAGCTTGCTTTGTGCTTCGACAAAGGATAAACGCCACCCAAGTGGCCATGTTGTCCACTTGTCGGCCTTTAAAATAAGCCTAATGGCTCTTTTGCTTAATCCAATGGCACAAATTCAAAATGGACTGTTGGTCAAGATTCATATTTGTTGTTGTTGTTTTTTTTTTTAATATATTTATAATTTCATTGAATTTAACGGCTGATATCCAATATGATCAAATCCAACAGTATAAAAAAAGATCTAACGGCCCAACTTTAAATCCAACAGCTAAATTAATTTAAAAAAAATGTATTTATCTCAAAATTCACCCCAATTTAATGTTTTTTTACAACATTTATAGGAATCTAAATATTTTTAGGTTAAAATTGTTCGTAAAATTAAATTAGGACAGTCTACATAATTTTTTTTTTTAAATTTACTTGAAAAAAATTTCGCCTAAACTTATTCTTTAATATATCAAGCTAAAAAATTTAACTTAGAATGGTTGGAGCAGAAAAACTATTTTTGGGTTAAAAATTTTAGGTTTTACTCTAAGGATTGGAGATGGTCTTATCCCTCAGTTATTTCTAGTGCTGAAATGTACATGATCAACACAGCAGTAGTCATTTCGATCACTTCCAGCAGCCCTAGGTGGCATGTTGTTCTCTAGAAGCAGCTTTTGGGTTTTTTAGGGTTCAGTTATCCCTAAATCTCAGGTCTCTAGTTGACTTTTTAATGTATATTCCCTTGAATTTGGTAATGTTGTTTTATTGGATTATTACCATCCATTAGGGCTGATTTTAGGGAAAGATTGCATGTAATCTTCCTGCTACTTAAAGTGTTTGCTGTAATCTCAAATTCATAATAGAACACTCAAATCCAAATCTTCCACATGATATCAGAGCAGTGTCCTTCTTAGGCTTGTCTTTGATGCCTTTTATTTCATCATTCTTCATTCTCAGCCATCAACATGGCTAAAGAAAATTCAGAAGCTGAGAGCACCATTGCCTCATCGTCTACCAATATCTCTGCGGTTGATATCAACCTTAATCAAAGGTTCAGTTTAGTGTTGTTCAACGAGTTCAATGTCTCCCTTGGTCCAGGGCAATAACATTAACCCTTGGAGGAAGAGCTAAGCTTAGCTTCATCAATAGAGTCATTCAAGCACTGGAGAACACCTCCCCATATTATGCATCATCGATGTGCAATGACCAGTTGGTCATGTCTTCGTTACTTAACTCCACAGAAAGGAAAATCGCCGAAATCTTCAGCTATTTTGAATCTTCACAGCAGCTATTAGACAAGGTGAGAGAAATGTATGACAACCAAAATAACTTAGCCATAGTTTTTTAGCTCAAAAGAGATATTGTTGCCCTTAAACAAGAAATTAAGTAAGTCCTTTGTTCAACATCTCAGTAACCTCACTACGATGTCGATGTGGAACGAGTTGGACGTTTATAGACTTCATACCACTGATATTATTACACTGTTGAAGAGGCTGAGGAAGGCAAAATCTTCTAATTGTTAGTCGGTCAGAGCTCGGAGTATGAAAATTTGAGGAGCCACATCTTGATGAACTTGGAACTTCCATATTTTTCCAGTGTATGTGCCACCATAAAACGAGAAGAAGTTAAAAGGCTAGTCATGGCTCTTGACACCAAGTCTAGTGTGCGAGAAGCCCGAGCATATGCTTCAAATCACAAGTCACCTGAATCAAGGGTTTACAAGGGAAAATGATCAGACTTGAAATGTATCACTGTCTTCGTATTGATCACCTTGGAATTGTCTATACCAAAGATCGATGCTGGATACTTCAACCAAAGTTACAACCTAAGTTCAACAAGGATGAAAAATGACCTTTCAAAGCAGCTCAAACCCACCATACAAAAGCAGTTATAGGGCCAATCTTGCAGCATCTTCCTCAACAAACCATGCATGTGAAACTCCCAGTGGTGGTTTGTTAGCTTTTACATCAAATCCTATTGCACTGATAAATGATTTTGCTTCCTACCTTCAATGCAAAAATTGGAGGGGTCAAAGTGAAGAAACAGTGGGAACTAGAGCCAAGAACCACACAACTCTCCTTGGGAAGTTCGTTGGGTTTTTGGCAGAAGCATAAGGAATACCACACGAAGATGCTGCATGTATCTTAAATGCTTTTTCAATAGCTCGAAATACAAGTCTTGTGCATGATTGTTGGATATGGGTGCCATTGTTCACATGACAAACCAACCTACAAACTTTCATGATTTAAAAAAAAATGTCATCTCAAGTATTAGTTGTTAATGGTAGAGGAGTTTCAGTCATGGGAAAAAGGAAAATTAAGCTGATATCCAACCAAAGTTTCAGTACAAGTAGATGTTCAAGTGATGAAATTTTGGGGGCAATAACTCCCTTATTCCTTCCATCATTGTACTCAATACAAAGATCCTCATTCCACCCACAACTCACATGAAATGCCAAAGGGCATTTAAACTCAGGGCACTGGATAACACACACACACAACCCCCCCTCTCTCATCCTCCTCTCTCGAACTCTCACAAACATAGCACCTCTCCTTCCACTGCATTTTCGGAACCTTGGAGCAATCAATCCCTTCCCAACCTTCAGGATCATTGAAGAACACTTTTCAGTGTTATAGTGAATCCCATATTGATGAGATGAGGAATCTTACATATGCTTACAAGTAGTTAGGCTACTTCCTTGCCAATTAGTTTTATAGTGGAACCTTAACTTTCTTCATAGTATCAGAATAGCCACATGTGAAGCTCAACACATGTGCTTCACGTTACTTGAGTTATGTTGTTCATGTGTTAGGCTTGAAAAGTCGCCACACATGAGAGAACATATTAAAAATGAATTCTACATTGATGAGAGGAGTGACCTTGCATGAGCTTATAAATAATTAGGATATTCCCCATATTAGAACATCAACTTTCTTCATTCAGGACATAAAGCCCGCACACAATGTATGCTCACCGGCCGTCTCCAGTGGGCTTCATTACCCCACAATTGACAGGGCACAAGCAGCAAGAACAGGACTCAATGGATTGGGAATGCGCGGCGGAAGATGTGCATTTGGCGTAGAACCAATTGCTTTCCAAAATACCTTTTACGAGGAGATTGCCATAGCAGGAGGCATGAACCATCAGATCACACCCGTCACAGTACACAAGTGGATCTAATGGATCTCTATCTGTGCTCTGACAAATAGCACAAAACCGCCCATAATCTTCTTCTTCATTGCATTCTCCATCCCCTACAATTTCTTGGCTCTTCTCGTCTTGGTCATGGGTAATCTCGATATTTTCATTGCAGCAATTTTCAGATTTACCCTCCACTTTCTCCATTTTCTCGATCGCTTCTTCTTTCGACTCCAACCCAAAAGGCAGCTTGTACTCGACATTAAGGACCAATGTTGAAAGGGGCTCTTTGGGGAACAAATCAGGTTGAAACGCCCAAACCCTTTTCTTGGCAGGTAGGGAATAGGTTGAGATGGTAGCGGCGAAGATGGCAAGGTCAGGGAAAACGAGTTGGTCCCTCGGCGCCTTTCGCTTTATCCCCAAAAGGCACAAGGGGGACAAAAGGGCATCATTATACTGCTATTGCATGAGCCTGAATCTCTTGAGAGAAGGTAGGCCATGGAATCTCTGATCCATTTGTTGGTCTAGTTTTTGGGCAAAGAAAAATGGGGGAAATGATTTGGTGGGAACATTGATTGAGAGAGTTTGAGAGACCTTTTGAGGTTTTGATTTCAGATTAGAGATTAGGGATTTGAATTAAAATATTAGACGAACGAACTGGATTTGTTGTGGGAACTTCAAAAGCTACGAGCCTTTGTTTTCATTTGAGTTTTAGCAGCCAATATTTGAATTTGGCGGGGGATTTAAATTTTTGGTTAGGGGAATTTTGGTACCAAAATTATTTGAAATCTTTCGATAAGCCGAAAGCCGAAAATTGAAATCTTTGGATCTGAACTTTGTAGAAGTAAATGAGATCAATTGGCCAAAATTGTGTACTTGCTCCCTTGTTCCCCAATTCAATCTTCCTTTTGGATTGGACTATTGGTAACTTTTCTTGTCCGAGATAAAGGCAATCATATGCAAAATAAAAGAACGGAAATGGTGGACTGGACATAGGATTGAAAAGAAAAACAAAAATGAGTAGTGTATACTTGTCACATTTTTTATATCACATTTACATCATCTCTTTAATAAAGATACAACCTACCAATACATGTCCAACTTATTCAGCACTAGAAAGTGTAAATCCAACTGTTCCATAGCTACTACGGACAAAAAGAAATTCCGACAAATATCAGCTCATATGAAAACAGAAAGACTTAAGTTTGTACTGCTTGTCTAAAGATTTTACATGACATTTGTATCTTGCTTCTGGGCTGGCACAGTCTGTCTCCAGAATCCTGCCAAGGCACTACCCAAGATTGAATGACAAACGCTGGAAACAGCACATGGTCCTGCAGTTAGAGGGTTTCCGAAGTGCTGACCGGCTAGAACAATTCCAAGCACCGACTTCTGAAACATAAAATAGCCGATAACAACACTCGCAGACAACTGATAACGCATGCAAATTGACAAGGATTCTTTCAATTATAATGTCTTTCCGTTGCGATGTGCCAATGCCATGCCACCGTGACGCAACAGCCGTTACGCCATACTCAGCTGGGGAAGTTGCAGCATGCACTATCCATGAGCAGCAGAAGCTTTCCCGCTATACAGGCGGTAGAAGGGTTGGGGGTTGGGTTGATAAGAGAGAAGGTGAGATCAAGGGATGAGAGTGAAAAGAGAAACTAAAACGAAAGAGTGGGGAGGAGCAGGGGGCTGGTTTGTAGCATGTGGGAGAATACAAATTCAAAAACAAAGAGAGTGGGGGAATTTAGTTAGATGTTTTAGGGTTTGGAGGTGGGATAATAGGATAATAGGATCATTAGTCATATTTGGCAGGATAATAGGATCATTAGTCATAATAGGATCATTAGTCATACCAAACAGTACTGTAGAGCATATTACTTTGTAGTGTAAATGATTTGGTCATAGACTTTAAAACCTTCAATTGGATAGAAACGTGGAATTACTGATGGTAAGTGCTATAAACCGATGGAATATGTAAGGATTTCATGTCCCTTTAAAATTTGGGATGTTTAAGCAATAAATTAATTGTGATGCACTCACTGTTAAAGTTTTCAACTACGAGTTTGTCAAATAAAGTAAGCATCATATCCAAGAAAAGAAAAAGAAAATATAACTATTAGTTTGTCGAAATTTTTGTTGAGAGACCGCAATTTTTAACCATTAGTGTATCATTTAATGTGGTAAGTAATGTGTATATATAATGCCTATTAATTAACTAGTAAATATACCCGCACGCTGCTGCAGCATCAAAAATTATATTTAAGATTATGCAAATTCATTCACTTTATAATCAAGCAATGTTTGAGTCAAGAATTGAGGATTACAAATGCTAAAAAAAAAGAAAACAAAAGAAAAAAAAAAGGAGAATGAAAATTTAACTTGACAAAGAGACCTCAATGATCTAGTTCAATTCAAGACTTGGTCAAACTGTGATTCACTCAATCTATCCCTAAACAAAAGAAAACCAAACCAAGTTCAGCAAGAATTATGCACGATTTTTGTGAAACTATATAATGAATGATACCACATTGCCAAACAAACATGGACTGGAACTGATTTTAAAATTCATTTGAAAGGAAAATGGTAAATACAATTCGCTTGAGATGCTAACTTTTCAAGATATGACACTAACAAAAATTGCATATATGGATGAAACACATATTAACGCTTACACTTAATCATAGATAACTATAACAAAATTTTATTTTACTTTACACAATGTTGCAGGAAATTGCCTAAATAGGCAATGAACAATAGCACAGGGAGCGTGCACTTGTGGATCCAAAATTGTATGTCAGAATGATTGATGTAGAGTATCAAGGATATTAATATACAGTACTACACCTCTAGAAAATTTTCTGGCTTTTTTTTTTAAGTACAAATAAAGACTCGCAATACTTCGCTGATGACGATGGAGGGCATAATCAAAATGAATTTTATAAATCTTTATGTGTGACATTACGCTCTTGAACAATACTACACCTGAAAATTGTTTTATGATTCGGTTTACTGCTCTTTGAAGTACAATAAGTGTAGCAACAATTCCCTAAAAAGAGTGTATATGTTAAAGAATTGATTGAAATAATTATAACAGAAGTAAGTTAAAGATTAGATAATGGAAAATTGGATGCAAAAAATATATCAGCGGCGAAGTAAATGTAAGTGGTGCGAGGCTATCCTGATTATGCCCTGATCATCTTAAACCGACACAGGAGGATTTGGAGGTGATGGAGTAGTATCTAAAAGGGTTCATCAGTATGAGTATAGGATTACTGGGTATTTCATCTTTGCTTACATTGCAGCTCTAGGAGGCTCTATATTTGGCTATGTTCTTGGTGTTTCAGGTCATTTTTCTTCCTGGTTTATGATTCAAACTTTGAAATAAATTAGATTTATTTTCCCAGGCACCCCTTCCTCTTGTAAGCATAGGGGGCATAGGCTGACGTTCTGAATTCAATGACTACCGTGTGATATGCAAATCTAGGAATAAAAAGTTTGGAAGCCAAGATGCAATAGGTAAACTAAAATTGACAGCCGCAATAGGATGGAAACCGAAACCACTTGCTAGCATCCAACTAAACTTGACACTTCTATATGCACCCAAAAAATTTCATCATTCAAATGATATTGCTTTAAACCAAAGTATGGAAAAAAGAGTGAAAACTTGATTATATGGTTAACAATCCAAGAGTTAAATTAGCACAAATTCATAAAACCAAAACCCAAACTTATTAGCCAATAATTAAATTAACAAATTAATTTTTTTTTTTTAAACCCCCAAATGTCACCTGCTTCGGGATTCTGAAATCAGACTCTTCAAATTGGAGCACTCGTACTTCAATTCGTCTTCGGTGCTCCAAAGCTATTTTTGGGCTTTTTTTTTTTTTTTTTTTTTTTTTGTTTTTTGGAGAGAAAGAGGGTTGAATGAGAGAAGGATTTCATAGAGAGAGAGTTGAATGAGTGATGCAGGTTGTGCCTCCTGGAAGAGTAATTTTTCGGTGTACCCGGCACACCAAATTTTTTTGGTGTACCCTCACTCATAATGGTGAGGGTACACCAAAAAAATTTGGTGCACCCTCACTTTTTGTACACCAAAAAAATTCTAATGAGTGAGGGTACACCAAAAAAATTTGGTGTACCCGGTACACCTAAAAATTTTTCCTCCTGGAAGCAATTAGAGTTTATGCATCCTTTTCTCTTTCCACGATGACCGACAAGTGCATAACCTTTTCCGTAGTCGGGTTCAAAAAACGAAGAACCGACCAAAAGAAAGGCTCCACCGATCATGGACACCTGGATAGCAAGGGCAAATCCGGCACATCACTGTGGACAAAACAAGCAGCTAAACGGCAAAGCAAAGAAAAATCAGGGGCATCTCTGTCCGGACACTGGTGATGAACAATGCTCCGGGGGAAAATTGAGTTTTAGCATATATGATTTATCTTATTGGATATTGGTTCTATGCATAACTTGTCACATAAGATGATACACTAATATGATACAAAAATATAGTTTCTCTAGCATTACTCCAGATTTGTCTCATGATAACAACCCGAGAATGGTGTCCAAACTTATTATTAGATGATAATTTATGACAATTAAGATATCATTTGGGCAATATTAATTTTACAACATACACCTTTTTATTCTCTTCAGAAATTTACATAAACCTTTTTATTCTCCTCAGAGATATCTCTCTACTGCTTAACATCATTACTTAATCCTCAATTCGTGAAGAAAAGACTTCCCATGAAGCTTACGATCAAAAAATGCTTTGAAATATTCTTCAACACTCAGCCTTCTAAATGCTGCAGGTGTTTGCTCAGTGATCAAACTAGAGGCCGGGCCGATTTCACCATCAACTCTGGGGTTGTAAAATGTGGCGATTGAGAGCCTTTCTTTTTCAGAGTTCACAGTTGCACGATGTTCAATGCTACGATACGTCCCATTTGTTATAACCTGCCATGCATATATTTAAACTCTAAAAGTAAAAGGTAATAGCTGCAATAGGTATAATTATTAAGGATCAAAAGTTTGAAATAATTGTTCAACACATCTCTCACAAAATATAGGACGCACTCACGCAGTAAAAGGTTATTGAAGATTAAGCTATGTGTGAAAGATTTACATGCTTAATAATATAGTTAGTAAACATGGCATGGATAACACTACATTCTTTTTCTTTTTCGGTAACAAATTGTTTAGAGCGAGGGGAGGCAACCCGTTGCTGGTCCAAGGTATACCACATGCCTCTTTGAGGACTTACAGAGAGGGGCCTTAGCCTTTTTTTTTTGTTTTTACAAGTCGCTCACCGAGATGGATTGCTAGCAGCGAGACTCGAACTTAAGTCTTGGTCTAGCAAAAAAAACAATCCTTACGAACTCAACTAACTCTTGTTCGCAACACTACACTCTTTATATACACTTACCAGAGTGAAAATTGGTACCGAGTAATGTTGGAGTAAAATTCTTTTTTACCAAATGATTTTCTACGTTACGGTGTAGATTAATTTTGAATTTGAACTCTATGTAGTTAAAAAAGAACTGATCACCTGATGGTCGATGGTATGAAAATGACAGTTGGATAACATTTTCATCTACGTATCGAGCAAGATAATATTCAAAAGGTTAAAGTTATCAGTGAAAATCATTACCTCTAGAACGTCTCCAATATTCACAATAAAGGCATCTGGTAGTGGCTTCACAGGAACCCAAATCCCATCTTTCTTTACTTGGAGGCCATCCATTTCATTGACTTGTAGGAGGATGGTGAGAGCTCCACCATCAGAGTGAGGGGTCAGACCGAGGACTTTCCCCGGCTGAGGGCACGGAGGGTAATAGTTCACCCTCACCGCTTGCAATGCACCTTCGAATATGTTGGTCGCTTCATTGGTTTCCATCTGCAAAGCTTTTTCCATTTGTGATAGGATAGTCATGGCTAGGTTTTTCAGTTCCAATGAGTAAGTTTCTAAAGTCTCTCTGCATTATAAAAATATAGGTGAATTATTTGTACATATATCTTACAATGATAAATTGTGCCTAAAATATGTTACATATGCAAAATAATTTACGTACAAAATAAAGCAATATTGTTTGATTCAAAATTAATTTACCTATACTTTAAATAAAAATAAAAATTAATTAATTGACAATACATATTATTGTTGTTTTTTTTTTTTGGTCAAAAAATAGATTTTTAAGAAATCACCGATGAGATTTGAACCCAAACAATCATCTAAAGGTCTAATTCCTTTTCACCATTGTGGTAAAGGGCCAATTGCGTATTACTATTGCTCAATATATTTAATAATACATTTAAATAATTTACCTATAAAAATAAGTTATTTGCTCATCATGAATTTGTAAATAGGTAAACTAATTGGTAGAATATTTTTGTACGTATTTGTAGCACTACTATTTATGTGCAAATAATTTATAGCTAAACTACCTATTAATAAAACTTTCTTTGTCAACCATAAGATGATGAAAAAACTATTTAGTCTTCTATCACACAAAAAAAAAAAAAACAAATGATGGGCAATAATTTAATTTTACAAGTCCAAATTTTGGTCCTTTTTATGAGGTAAATTGTTTCAAATCTTTTGAATCTATACACATAGGTACGCTGCATAATTCCTAAAATAGAAAATTAGATTTCAATCCTTAAATAAGATGAAATATAATAAAAAAAAAGTCTTATAGAAGATTAAAAATTGATTTTAGTCCCTAGATTCTATTTAATGCCATCATATGTATTAAATGTCTCTCTTTTTTCTTTATAATTTTATGGTGTTCATAAATTAAATTGTATGAAATTATTATAAATTTTAATTCTGATTATGGTAAGTATCTTTTATAAGAAAATATTTTCGTAGAGACATATATTTAGGAACTAACATTTCGGTACACTAAGTTAGTATAATATGTTTAGGTACGGACATGGTAGACTAGTTTATTATAATATATTTAGGTACCGACATTTCCGTACACTAGTTTAGTATCATATATTTAGGTACGGAATTTTTTGGTACACTTATGTTTTTGCGTATTTTCTTATGTGCCACATATTTAGGTACAGATATTTCGGTACACTAATTTAGTAAAATATATTATGATACGGACGTTTAGATACACTAATTAGAGGAAGTAAAATAAAATTAATGAATTAAAATATGTATAATAATAAATTTTAATTTTAATGTAATATCTATTAAATAGTAAACAAAAATATAATAAGAATTTGAATTTGAATTAAGTACACATTAGAGGACTAAAATCGATACTAATCTAACACAAGGTTTTTATTGAATTTTAATCTTGTTCAAGGATTAAAGTTCAAAAACCCCAAAATCATGTTAGGATGAATATATACCTAAATTGTCACATCCTGGCCCGGGGCGGACCACTTCCCGGGCCCGCTCCACCACCGTAGCACGATATTGTCCGCTTTGGGCTTACCATTCCCTCACGGTTTTGTTTATGGGAACTCACGAGCAACTTCCCAGTGGGTCACCCATCATGGGATTGCTTAAGCCCCCTTCTCACTTAACTTCAGAGTTCCTACGGAACCCGAAGCCCGTGAACTCCCAAAAGGCCTCGTGCTTGGTAGGGATGAAAATATACATTTAAGGATCACTCCCCTGGGCGATGTGGGATGTCACAATCCACCCCCCCTTAGGGGCCCGACGTCCTCGTCGGCACACCACGGCCAGGGTTAGGCTCTGATACCAAATTGTCACATCCCGGCCCGGGGCGGACCACTTCCCGGGCTCGCTCCACCACTGTAGCACGATATTGTCCGCTTTGGGCTTACCATTCCCTCACGGTTTTGTTTTTGGGAACTCACGAGGAACTTCCCAGTGGGTCACCCATCATGGAAGTGCTCAAGCCCCCTTCTCGCTTAACTTCGGAGTTCCTACGGAACCCGAAGCCAGTGAGCTCCCAAGGCCTCGTGCTTGGTAGGGATGAGAATATACATTTAAGGATCACTCTCCTGGGCGATGTGGGATGTTACATAAATACCCTAATGCACTGATATCTATCAATAATATTATTAGACACATACAAATGATTTCATAGGTAACACGTATTAATAGAAGTAAGTCAATATGTTACACTCGCTTATAGCAATACTCTAACTAGAGATTGTGTTGGGGTTTAAAAATGCTTCACTACTTTGGAGATGTTTATCTCACAAAGAAAAATGTAACGTAGCGGAATTGATAGGCAAGAGAAAGAAAGAATTCTCAAAGTATTACACAAGGTTTTTACACTCACAAACTTAGTACAAGAGGAAACACTCAAACACTCTTAGAAGCTTTGTTGCTTCTTCTTACTTCTTACTTGACACTCTCACTTCTTGCTACTTGCTCTCTTGGTTGTTACAAAAGGTGTGGATGTCTTCTCCTTTTATAGGCATGGATGGAACCTTGGAGAAGCATGAAAACATTATGCTAGAGATATCTAGATAATTCCACTACCTTCCTAAGCTAGAATTACCTACACTAATCTTGTATGTTGGTGGAATCCTCACCATTCTTCTAGACTCTTCCACCAACTTGAACTTTGCTAGAATTCTCTAGCATACGCATGGATCTTTCTTTGTGTATGGGCCGGATCAATTATCTTTGGGCCAAGACAAGATTACAATTCAACATCCCCCCTTAATCTTGTCTTGTGACGCCAATTGAGTTTCTTAGTCTGACAAAGTCTTCTTGTTTGAGTGGCTTGGTGAATATGTCGGCAACTTGGTCTTGAGACTTCACGTATTCCACTTGCACATCCTTTCTTGCAATGCACTCTCTTAAGAAATGATAACGGGTATCTATGTGCTTGCTCCTGTCATGGATTACTGGATTCTTTGCTAGAGCTATTGCAGACTTGTTGTCGACATAGATCTTTGTTGGCTCTTCTTGTCGCATTCTTAATTCTTTCAGCAAGTTTCTCAGCCAGATTGCATGACAGACATATGAAGTAGCAGCTACGTATTCAGCTTCGCAGGTAGAGAGAGTGACAATCGGTTGCTTCTTCGACATCCATGTGAATGCAGCGTCTCCCATGAAGAACACAAATCCAGTAGTGCTTTTTCTATCGTCGGAATCTCCTGCCCAATCACTGTCGCTATATCCAGCAAGTTTGTAGTTATCAGAACTTGAATAAAACAAGCCAAAGTTAACAGTACCTTTGAGGTATCGAAGAATTCTTTTGGCCGTTTTCAAATGTGTAGTTGTGGGATTCTCCATGTGGCGACTGATTAATCCGACAGCATAGAGAATATCTGGTCTTGTGCAAGTCAAGTAGCGTAAGCTTCCAACTAGACTTTTGAAAAATGTTGGATCTACGCTTCCTCCTTTATCATACTTGGTTAGTTTGATTCCGCACTCTATTGGCGTGCTCACGGGCTTGCAGTCGTCCATTTTGAACTTTTTCAGTATCTCCTTTGTGTAGCTTTCTTGGGAGATGAAAATTCCTTCTTCGTTCTGCTTGACTTCAATGCCTAGGTAATATGCCATCAACCCGATGTCGGTCATCTCAAATTCTTTGGTCATCACTCTCTTGAACTCTTCAAACATGCTTGGATTACTCCCGGTGAAGATTAAATCATCCACATATAAGCACACAATCAAAATATCTCCATCTTTGACTTTGACGTAGAGAGCATGTTCATGAGGGCACTTGATGAAGTTGTTTTCCTGAAAGTACTTGTCGATGCGACTATTCCATGCTCGTGGCGCTTGTTTTAACCCATAGAGGGCTTTCTTCAGCTTCAGAACTTTGTCTTCATGCCCTTTGATCTCATAGCCTGACGGTTGCTGAATGTAGACTTCTTCTTCAAGGACTCCATTTAGGAAGGCGGACTTCACATCCATTTGTTGAATCTTCCAACTATTTTGAGCTGCCAAAGAAATTAGCAATCGTATAGTTTCCAACCGAGCAACGGGTGCGAATACCTCATCATAGTCGATTCCGGCTCTTTGACTATAGCCTTTCGCCACTAGTCTTGCCTTGTATCTTTTGACCTCTCCATTGGCATTTTTCTTTGTCTTGTACACCCACTTGACTCCGATGGCTTTGTGTCCTTTCGGAAGAATAGCAAGTTCCCATGTATCATTCTTCTGGATTGCTTCAATTTCTTCATCCATTGCTTTCCTCCACTTAGTATCTTGCACTGCTTCTTGGAAGTCGACTGGTTCATAATCAGCAAAGAGACAGAAAAGTGTAGGATTATCAAGTCTTTCAGCTACCTCATAAAGATCTCGTATACTTCTTGTGCGTGGTACTTCTCTTTCATTTAGACTCCCACTTGACAATGCTGATGCTGATGAATTACCATGATTGGTTGATGTTGGTGAAGCAGGTGGAGTAGTGGATTCTTGTTGAACCTCTCTTGCTTGCTCCATCATCCCTTGTTCATTATCTTCTTCAAATTGAGGAAAGAAGTGAAGCTCACCTGCATGCGGGCCAAAATCCCATTCTCCTTCTTCATCGAACATCACGTCTCGACTGATCACCGTCTTCCCATTGTTTGGATTATACAATTTATAGCCTTTTGAATTGGTGTCATAGCCGATGAAGATGAACTTCTCACTTTTGTCGTCGAGTTTGGTTCTCCTCTCGTCTGGTACGTGTACATGGGCTATGCTTCCAAAAACTCTTAGATGAGAAATACCTGGTTTTCTTCCACTCCATGCTTCTTGCGGAGTTTTTCCCCACACACTCCTTGTTGGAGACCGATTGGATAGGTAGACAGCACATGCTACAGCTTCTGCCCACAATTCCTTAGGCAATTTCTTGCTTTTGAGCATGCTTCGAGCCATGTCGAGGATGGTTCGATTTTTTCTTTCCGCCACTCCATTTTGTTGAGGGGATCTTGGAACTGTCAAAGGTCGACGAATTCCATTTGCTTCACAAAACTCTTGAAATTCCTTCGAAGTAAATTCTCCTCCTCGATCAGATCTCATGGCTTTGATCTTGCAACCACTCTCCTTTTCTATAGTGGCTTTGAACTTCTTGAATGCTCCAAAGACTTTTGATTTCTGCTTCAAGAAATACACCCAGGTTTTTCTTGAAAAAATCATCAATGAAGAGAAGGAAATAATTATTTTTACCCAAAGAGCTTGGTTTTATTGGACCGCACACATCTGTGTGAATGAGCTCGAGTGGCTTCTGGGCTCTTGTGGTCGACTCCTTTGGAAAGCTTTTCCTGAACTGTTTCCCAAGTAAACATCCTTCACAAACTTGATCAGGGTGGCTGATGCACGGTAAGCCTCGCACCATCTCCTTCTTGGATAATAACTCCAATCCCCCAAAGTTAAGATGCCCAAAACGAAGATGACAAAGCCAAGATATGTCTTTGTAACATATCTTGAGACACTTTGCAACATCGTTTTGAATGTTCATGGGAAACATCCTATTCTTTGACATTTTCGCCTTGGCAATTAATCTTCCTTTGTCATCTCTAAGAAAAAGGATATAATTTTTCGTATGAAAATCATAACCTTTTTCTAAGAGTTGACCCAAACTCAAAATGTTGCTTTTCATATTGGGCACGTAGCAGACATTTGAAATTAATTGGTGACCGCCATTTTCCAAGGGAATAAGGATGTTACCTTTTCCTTTTACCGGTATTTTGGATTCATCTCCAAAAGAAACGTTGCCACTCACTGATTCATTGAGCTCTACGAAGATGCTTCTTCTTCCGCACATGTGGTTGCTAGCGCCGGTGTCAAGGTACCATGTATAGTCTTGGTCTCCATCATTGTTCTTGCATGCTAGTAGCACAACACCATTCTCTTCTTTCTCTTCTTTCACATAATTGACCTTCTCATCAAGTCTGCTGTTTGGAGCTCTACATTCCCAAGCATAATGCCCAAACTTTTGACAATTATAGCATTGAACTTGAGATTTTTCATACCTTGAGTTTGAGCGTCCTCTTCCGCGACCTTTTGTTGAGCTTTCTCCTCTTTCGTAGTTGCTATGGTTGTTTAAGTTCTAACCACATCCACGCCCATGTCCACGTCTGCGACCTCGACCACGACTTCTTCCGTATCGGCTTCTCTCGTTGTCAAAGCTTTCTTCTTTCTTCTTTGGCTGAACATGCGTCTTAAGGAGCTGCTCATCATTCCCTTGCCTCTTCTTATGTTTCTCTTCATATGCTTGTAGCGAACCCATTAATTGCTCTATACTAATTTCTTCCAAGTTTTTAGTTTCTTCAATCGTCACGACAATGTGCTCGAACTTGGGGTCCAACGAGCGTAGTATCTTCTCCATAATTCTAACATCTTCTAACTTTTCTCCGTTTCTTTTTAATTGATTGGAAACAGCTAAGACTCTTGAGAAATAATCAGAGATTGATTCAGACCCTTTCATTTGTAGAGATTCAAACTCACCTCTTAATACTTGAAGACGAACCTTTTTCACTTGTTCGGCTCCTTTGTAAGAGGTTTGAAGCTTCTCCCATGCTTGCTTGGCAGAGGTTGCACTCGAGACCTTCTCAAAGCCATTGTCATCTAATGCTTGGTAGATGAGATAGAGAGCCTTCTTGTCTCTCTTTCTTGAATCTTTCAAACTCTCCTTCTGGGGTTGAGACAGAGTAGCTTCATCTTCTGGCTCAGTGTAGCCTTTCTCCACGACTTCCCAGACATCATGTGCACCCAAAAGGGCCTTCATTTTGATACTCCAATTATCGAAGTTGTTGCTGTCGAGCACTGGAACTTGGAAGGCTGCCATAGCATTGCTAGCCATAGCTCTGGTACCACTTTGTTGGGGTTTAAAAATGCTTCACTACTTTGGAGATGTTTATCTCACAAAGAAAAATGTAACGCAGCGGAATTGATAGGCAAGAGAAAGAAAGAATTCTCAAAGTATTACACAAGGTTTTTATTCACTCACAAACTTAGTACAAGAGGAAACACTCAAACACTCTTAGAAGTTTTGTTGCTTCTTCTTACTTCTTACTTGACACTCTCACTTCTTGCTACTTGCTCTCTTGGTTGTTACAAAAGGTGTGGATGTCTTCTCCTTTTATAGGCATGGATGGAACCTTGGAGAAGCATGAAAACATTATGCTAGAGATATCTAGATAATTCCACTACCTTCCTAAGCTAGAATTACCTACACTAATCTTGTATGTTGGTGGAATCCTCACCATTCTTCTAGACTCTTCCACCAACTTGAACTTTGCTAGAATTCTCTAGCATATGCATGGATCTTTCTTTGTGTATGGGCCGGATCAATTATCTTTGGGCCAAGACAAGATTACAATTCAACAGATTGTCAGTAATAAAATCAGTTTTTTTTTTTTTTTTTTCCTTTTACTAAATAACATTACTCTTCGATAAATTCGTGCATTCACATTCATATTGCAGAAATTCATAGACAAACATATTTATTTGGAATCATGAGAGGACCTGAAAGGAGAAGGGAGTTTTGGGAGTAAGCGAGGCTTCCTCAGTTGGACAGGAAGGGTGGTCAAGAAGAAAGTGTCAGCCCAATCGAGTTTTTGGTCTTCAGAAACTACAAAGGATTGTCCAAAACCTTCAATGTCTCCTGGCTGTTGCGAAAAAATTTTCTTCTCTTCCATGGGTAGGTTGAAGAACTCTTGAGTTTCTGTCTTCATTTTCTCCAACAAGGAAGAGCTCACACCATGGTTTACCAGCTGTAAAAATATATAGAGTGAATATTATGGCCAAAAAACCCACGAAATAGCAAATTCTAAAATTTAGTATGCAGGCAAGGTGAAAAAAACATAGGTTAGGCCTAGAAAGTAGCCAAGTTAACCAAGGAAAAGAAGAACAAAAAACTAAAATATATTTTGGAGCAACCTATTAACGAAATTTTTTTTCAGCAACCTAATTTATAGCTTAGTGCCTAGGATTCCACATCATGGTATCTGTTTGCACCATACTTCGCCCGAGCAGGGGTCTCACATGTAAAATCCAACGGCCATATGGACTTCACATTATCTAAGTTGTGTTGTTCATGTGTTAGACTTCAAAACTCACTACACGTGAGTAAGGGTGTTGATAGTATGAATCCCCAATTGGAGAGAAAAGACTTTACATGTTTTTATATTAGTTGAGCTACACTTCATATTACCACTTGATTTTGTTATGAAACCTCAATTTGATACCTAAAATGGTTTTACCCGTAAAAACGGTCCTTAAATAACCAAACGGTCGAAGCCATGAATTTCCAAATGGGTGGGCTGGCTATTTTTAAGTTTGACTCACTTGTTGCTAACATGAATTTCAATCAACGACAAATCAAGGGAAACTTTGATATAGAAGTGGACTACTAATTAAGCTTAACTTGAGGTGAAATATATATATATAATTACATGATTACATAGTTATGTACTGCTTTTCATATCGCCAACGAAGACTCGATGATACTAGACTAAATGATCATCGACAAATTCCTCGAACTCGCGGGCAAAAAACAATCAGAACTATTTGATGAAAGATTTAGGTGGAAAAGGCTAGGTAATTTAATTACCTGAAAGAAACCCCACTCTTGGCAAGCAAAATGGAGCCTGGCTAGTTCAGCTTCAGAAATGGTTGATTCTTGTGAAAGCAATTTTTGCATGTCAATGGATGGTATTTGATGAGCATGATGATCAGAACTGATTATCTCTTGATGATGAGGCTGTATGTATCTGGGTGGGATTGTGAGTATTGGCTTCTTTACTAATTCTTGAACACTAGGAACAAGAAGAGAACCACCGTACAAGCTCTTCCCGGCAAATGCCTTTTTGTCCATACTTAGCTTTTGTGTACGCTGTAAGTAATGGGTGTTTTAGATAGGCTCTGGTAATGGTATATGTACTAACGGTGTAGAATACTATGTGTGGGTGGGTGTGTGTGTGTGTGTGTGTGTGTGTATGTATATTTTGTTCCTCTCTCTTGTTCTTGCCGTTGGTGCTACGATGACGACTGATGATCAAAAGGTTGGCTTGTCAGACTCTCCTTTGTGCCTCACTTTCTGCATGAGTTCAGTAGCGATATGGACCTGTCACCAACCTACCTTTGAATCTTGATCTGATTAGAATAGTCTCTCTCTCTCTCTTCAGAAAGGACACGTGGTTCCTTAATGGTCGTGTATTATTCTTATCTATTTGTATAAACAAGATATCAATTAAGTTCAAATTACATAAATGATGAGTTAGAGCATCTACAACAGACTTCCTAAATGAGCTTCTAGCTCAAGTTTATAATGGATTTGAAAATGTTCATTTCTAATCACACTTTCTATCCACTTCTTGGGATAAAGATTTTTCTATGAGCACTAAATCTAAGGAGTGAGAAAGGCGAACCTAACATTAATCATTAATATTTAATAATATTTTAAATAAAAACTCTCTGCATATTAGTCCACAATTATAACTTCCTAACTTAGAATCACTTAGTACATGGTCTAATGATATTTTTCTTTACTTGTAAGTGAGAGGTCTTATGTTCGATTCTCGCCAAAAACGAGTTTGAACCACATTATTAATAGCCCATTATAAGGTTAAACCTACCATTTCTCCTAATATAGATAATATCGTTTGTTCAAAAAAAAAATTCCTAAATTAGAGAATATAATTGGAGAAGAAATTTTTTAGGGATCTCTTAAAATAATTTACTAGTCTTTTTAGCTGCAATCTAACTAAAAAATATTTTGTTATATTTGGAAAAGAATCCTCGCTGAATCCTTTTCCTGAGGATCTTAGGAATCCCATGATCGGGACCGTGCATCGTACATCGTGCAGTGAAAAATCATTTTAAAATTTAAAATTAAATATAAATAATACCTAATAAAAACTGACCACACGATGCACGGTCCCGATCATGAGATTCTGAGAATCCCTAGAATCCCAAGGAAAAGGATCTGGCGTTATATTTGACTTCATAAGACAAAACATATCACTAGAGATGACACGTATCAATGTCTAGAAAAGATTAAAAAAGGATGAACTGTGCGTAGTTGCTTTATTCTTAATTTACAATTCAAGCCCTTTAACAGAAAGGATTTTTAATTTTTCTAAAAATTGGAGATTAGTTGTAGAACCCACTCTATATCGAATTTCAACGATCCGAATAATCTATTTTGTAAGTCTAGATTCATAGATCATTCTTGCAAAAATTCAATTCAATCTGAAACTTTTTGCCTATTTAATTATCACAAAGGAGTTTCAATGTTTCTTAGAGAATAAAATGTTCATCAATTTCTTTGAAATTAATTAGATGCCTCAAATAGTTCCGATTTGGCTAATATTTTGCAAGGGATGATCTATGAAATGCACCTTTGAAAAATGACTGTTCAAAACGTTAAAGTTCAATGTGATGTGGTCCTCACAACTACTTTCTATTTTTTAAGGGAAAAAAAATGAAGATTCCTTTCCTTAAAAACCTCTATTTACAATATAACTAAGATCTTGTAGAGGATAAAATAACATTAGTTTGCAACTTTTTTTTGCCAACTCAGTGTAAAGATCTTGTAGAGGATAGAATCATTGAAGCATTATTAATCTTCTACGCATGCAAAGGGAGAATGCAAAGGATAAAGTTTTCATAATATTTAAATTACTGTTCTTCTATTTGGATATCAAAAAAAAAAAGAAAAATCCACGTAGTAGGACCATAGACGGTTACGTTCATTATTTTTTAAAATATATTTTAATAAAAACAATAATATTTAAAATAAGTAAACTTAATGAATAATAAAAAAGTAACACAATAAAAAGATAATTTCTAAACTCATAATTATGATACAAGCAAGATGTCTAATATATAAGGAAAAGTCTTGTTCAAATCTAATATCGGTGGCCGATTAGGTAGCCCCATGGCGATTTCTATTGTCAATTAAGGGGACCTTTCTGAGTTCATTGTCATCTTCAAATTATAGTTGTGTGGATAAGAATTCTAGAGAGGTTGACTACGCAATGTCACGACGACGGTCTATATTTCTTGTTTAAATTAAAGAAATTTAGCTTGGCTTCAGTAGCAATACTGCTCATGAACTGTGACAGGTTTGTCCAGCATACATTGAGATTGAAATGGCTTGGATCAATAATGTAATGCAATGTAATGTTGAATTAAGATGTCATGCAACTATAAACTTATTTTGTGTAAGTTGATCTTCTTCTACTAATCAGTATTGGCTCCTTTTCTTTTTGTTATGTTTCAGTATCAAAACGCCCAAGAGACATACATGGGGGGCTCTTTGCACTCAAGTTACACGAGCAATTTTGCTCGACCTGAATGAAAAAAAGTTGAAGTTTCATCATAAAATAAATTGACAATAAAGGGTTAGGTAAACTTCCGATGGGAAACACTTCATCACACTTTTCTCATGTGTAATGAATTTTCAAGTCTAACACGTAAATCAAGCTGCTCTGATACTCTAATTGAAATTCCAGCATTAATCAATTAGCAGTATGACAAATTAACTAACTTCTTATCAGCCTTTACAAGATTAGTGAACTTCTGATATACGACATTTATTTACATCTTCATACCGAATGCAACGAGTCCTCCTTTTGTATGTCTTAGCTAGGCAAACGAATAACATCCCACATACTACTAGGCTCCACATCCTTTTTGACCTCCGTAGAAACCCTAACAACTGTCACAAATTGTGATGAAAAAGTTAAAGCATATGGTCAATAGTTTATTGCAGCAAGGCCATATGATTCAGCCTTAGAGAAGGAAGAGAACCAACTTGAATAAGCGTAAGCATTGCATGGAAAATATACAATATGCATAGAATATTTACAGCTCTTTCTTTTGACTGCTTAATGCTTACTACCATATGCAGGACCTGAAAGCTACAAATCAATTATACATATGCCAATGTGCGATACATGAAAACGAAAGAGATCCCTCGTTTTATAATTTTCGGGTCTTCCTTTTATCTAACCTATGTAGAAATTCATGTACAACATATATTACTAAATTTAACGACTGAATGTGCGGTCAACAATCCACAAATATCTAGCAAGTGGAATATCTAAGCAACTTACACTAGTAAAAAAAAAAACTCTTGCGTGACGAAACACACATTGTCCCCCAAAGTAACTTTGCACAACGAAACTCTAAACTTCGTTGCTCAAAGTCTTGCTTGACAAAAAACACATTGTCACACAAAGTCAAAGTGAC